CCGCCCATATTTTTGGTGACAAAAATTATAATTTAGTCGCAAAAAATTACTTATTTGCAACAAAAAAAATTTGGTCAGTAATAAAAAAAAATTTAGCTACGAATTTTTAATTTGGTCGGCAAATGACATATTTTTGCGACAAATTTTTTTGGTCGGCAAAAGTGGTCGGCAAATGTGTAAATTCTTGTAGTGCCCCCAGACTACTCTTATTTTCACGCGTACCCCTATACTATGTGAATTCCTTTCAATTTTAACCCTGCCATCTATTTTCGTCAAGGAAGTGGACAGAATGAGTGACGTGGCCCCTATAGTTTCACATGGAGGGAAAATTAAACGACTTGGCTGAGCACAATCAAGTTACATACATTAGGGTTGCTTAGAACTCCCCAAATCGCAATTAGGGTTTTTACTTTGCTCTCAAAATTCCAAAATCAAAGCTGAGAGTGAACAACGACTATGAAATCACATTGAAATCAAAGGTTGAACGGTGGGTTGGGTGCTAAGAGAGAAGAATAACGGTGGAAAAAGGCAAACACCTGTATATGGTATGTACTTTTTTTTTATTATTATTTTGAGTTATTTTTTGTTGTTTTTAGAAATCGCATGTGTTTAATGTTAATATTATTTTAGAATGGTCAAATCTTTGTTTATTTGTATGTGACATGGATTTGTTAATGAAATTTGTTTATGTTTGTTTCAGTTTGAACAGTTTTACTTTAAGAAAATCTTTGTTTATGTTTGTTTGAAATTGATGAACACATATGAAATCTTTGTTTTTTTGGTTGTTTGTTTTTCACATGGATGACTACTTGTTTATTATTTATCTATCTGTAGTGTAATGTAATAGAATTTTATCATTGTGAGCTCCAATGAATAATAGTGTTAATGACACATTTCCAATACAAAATGCAAAAGATGGATCTGGGTATTTTACAATCAAAATGCACCATGGAGATGTAGTGAGGTATATTCCATAGAGGGTTTACAGTGGTGGTATGGTAAGTCATTTTGACTTTTGTCATTTAGATCAAATTTCCATTACAGAGTTGTGTTGCATGGCTAAGGAATTAGGACATAGGCCAAGTAATAACTATTACAGTAAGGTTAGTGGTTATGGTGGGATGGAGTTACTAAAATCTGATGCTGATGTATTGATGTTGGACACATATGTGGATGAAAACGGGAGATTAATTCATTTTTACTCCTATACTTTTACACTATTTTCAATGACCCCACCAGACTACTCTTATTTTCACGCGTACCCCCATACTATTTAAATTACTATCAATTTTTCCCCTGCCGTCAGATTTGAAATGGAAAATGTTAAAAAAAATACATTTTAGCCCCAAATTTTAAAATAAAGATGCAAACTCACACTTTCCTACCAACAAACCACCACTACCAACCACCACTTCAAGCCCTTTTATCTCACTCATAACTCTGTTTTGCCTCATTTTTACATTGTTGGATTCAACTCACAGTCTAGTTTTCGTATAATATCTCACACGTTTCGTTCTTCTTCTTTTTGCATGCTATCGGAGCTTCGAAAGTTGATAAAAAAAATAAGACTTTTCTTCGAGTCATCTTTCGGACTTCATATCTTTCTCGATTCTTAACGGTTCTACTTCATTCTTTCGTCATTCTCCTCACTTCACTTCCTACTTCGCCCTACATTACCTCGCTTTCTCACTTCTTCATGTAATGGGCGGTTTTGGTATACCGAAAGTTGTACGAAAACTAATTTCAAAAATTTTAAAACATTCATCTTTTTTTTCTTTCTTCTCTATCTTCCTCATTCTTCTTCTTTTTCACTTATAAAATGATGTGAAACATGGTTCTAGGTGGTAACGGAGCTGGTGATGGTGGTAGTGGCAGTCTAGTGATGGTGACGGCGCTCGCGATGATGGTGGGTTTTTAAAGGTGGTGGTGATGGTGATGCTCATGGTGGTAGTGAAGTTGGTGGTTCAGGTGGTAATGAGAAGATAATACAAAACTAAAATAGGCATTGGCATTCCATTCCAATTTTCAACATACCAAACGTGCTCCAAGTCTAATACAACCAGTGATTAAGTCTAAATGTGTTGTACCTCATGAAACTGGACCAAGAGGCATCAAGAAATTATCTGTTATTAGAAAACCACATTCAACAATATTAATCACTGAGCTACCCATGTGGGTTAAATCTATGGAACATGTCATATTTTTTCTAATTCCAATTGAAAATGTATCACTATCTCTATTGTCAATAAATATATGAACAAGCCAATCACCATTTAAAATTAGAAAAAAAATTATGGTAAAAAAAAACATATATAACTATATATAGATGAGAGAGAAAATAGTTTTCTCAAAGCTTGAATACAAACACATGACTTTCAATTACAACATCACTTTTAAATCAATAATACCAATTTCATACAATACAATCACAACAAAAACTAGGTCCTCATTTGCGACAAATCTTTGTGATGACAAGTCTTCGGTGGGTTGTACGTTGAAAGTCACGTTTGGTGTGTTTTGTTCGGGGTGGTGATGTTGGTGAAATTCGTGGTTCGGGTGCTGATGTTAGAGAAGTTGATGAAGTTGGTGGTTCGAGTGGTCGGTTACCTCCTAGAACCATGTTGTACATCATGTTATAAGTGAAGAAGAAAAAGAAGAATGAGGAAGATGGAGGAGAAAGAAACAAAAGATGAATGTTTCGAAATTTTTGAAATTAGTTTTCAGACAACTTTCAGCATACCAAAACCACCCATTACACGAAGAAGTGAGAAAGCGAGGTAGTGTAAGGCGAAGTAGGAAGTGAGGTGAAGAGAATGGAGAAAGAATGAAATAGAATCGTCAAGAATTGAGAAAGATATGAAGTCCGAAAGATAGCTCAAAGAAAAGTAAAAAACAAGAAGAAAAGTCTTATTTTTTTTATCAACTTTCGGAGCTCCGATAGCACGCAAAAAGAGAAAGAACAAAACTTGTGAGATGTGATACAAAAAATAGACCGTGAGTTGAATCCAACGACGTAAAAATGAGATGAAATGGAGTTATGACGAAGGAGATAGAAGGACTTGAAGTGGTGGTTTGCTGGTAGGAAAGGGTGGGTTTGCATCTTTATTTTGAAATTTGGGACTAAAATGTAATTTTTTTAATGTTTTCTGTTTCAAATCTGACAGCAGGGGAAAAATTGATAGTAATTTAAATAGTATGGGGGTAAGCATGAAAATAAGAGTAGTCTGGGGGGGTCATTGAAAATTGTGACAAAGTATAGGGGTAAAAATGAAATAATCTCTAAAAATAGAGTAATAGATGTTTATATAGGACACAATTTGGATGATTATGTAAGTACACGAAGTAGTCAAGTAGGCTCAAGTGTAGAAACAAGTAAGGGTAAGGCGGGTAATGCTTGATGTTGAATTGGAGGAAGATGAAGATAGTGATGCCTATGATCCTGACCAGTTAGACTCATCCTCTGATGAGTCTGGAAAATATAATGACAGTGACTATGAACAACGTGGTGATGATGCTTTATATGATAAACATGTTGACAAAGATGTGGAATTTGGTGGTTTAGGAAGTAGTAAGGATGCTATGGGTGATGTGGTTGACAATGATGACCTATAAAGCATGGACAACTCATCTGATGAGCTAAGAAGCCTTCATAGCTCCTCTGATGAAGATAGTCATTGCACTAGGATTAAGTACCTTATTTTCAGTGAGAGTAACATGCACAATTCTACATTCCAACTTGGCATGGAGTTCAAAACAAATGTGTTGCTTAGAGATGCTGTGAAGGAGTATGCTATTAAGTGGGGAAAACAAACAGCATTTACTAAGAGTGACAAACAGAGGGTTAGGGCAGAGTGAAAACTTGGTTGTCCTTGGGTTTGCTATGCTTCTTTTGTGAAGGGTGAAGAGGTGTTTAGGATCAAAACTTTTGTAGATGAACACACATGCAACAAAACATTTGATGTGCCACATGTGAGTAGTAGATGGATTGTCAATAGGTATTGGGCAACGATTAGGTTAAACCCTACTTGGCCAATTAAGTCATTGGTAGACACCATTACAACAGAGTATAATGTAAAAGTTGACCTGCAGAAAGTGAGAAGGGCAAAAATTAAGGCTCTCACAATGATTGAGGGTACTGCAATTGAACAATTTACAATGCTTTGGGGTTGTGTAAAAGAGATTAGAAGTAGGAATCCAGGAACAATTTCCATGAAGGTGAAAGAAGTTCCAAAAGTTCATGAAGAGTACGAGTAAATGTCCAAGTTTAAGAGATTGTATTTATGTTGGGGTCCATTGAAGAAGAGTTTCCAAAATGCTTGTAGGCCAGTCATTGGAGTGGATGGTTGTCATTTGAAGGGACCACATGGTGGAGTGTTGTTGACTGCAGTGGGGATAGATGTAAATAATTGTACATTCCCATTTGCCTATGCCATTGTTGAGAAGGAGAAGAAGAAAACATAGTTGTGGTTTCTGAATTTGTTGGGGCAAGACTTGAATATTGTGAATTCTCATTGTTACACTTTCATGAGTGACAAACAGAAGGACCTAATTGATACAGTGGCTGAGCTCTTTCCAAATGCCTTACACAGGTTCTGTGAAAGGAATTTGTACAACAATTTCAAGGGTCAATTTAAGGGTAGGGTATTGAAGGATTTGTTATGGAAGGCAGCCAAGGAAAGCACTGTTGTTGTATTCACCAAAGTTATGGAAGAAATAAAAGGAGTTGATGAACAAGCATTGGAGTAGGAGTCACTTCCACAATTTTCCCAAGTGTGACATTTTGTTGAATAATCTTTGTGAGTGTTTCAATACAAGCATATTGCAGGCTACTGATCAAGCTGTGTTGTCCATGTTAGAGAAGATAAGAGTTTTGTTGATAGAAACAGCTCAAAAAAGAAATGAAGCAATGAAAAGGTACAACAAAAGTGATATATGTCCTAAGATTTAGAAGATTTTGGAAAAGGTAAAGATGAGTGCAACTGTATGGATTCCTAGATGGAATGGGGGTTCCCAATATGAAGTTGTTGGCGCATATGGTGAGCAATATAAGGTTGAAAGAATGGACTTGTGGATGTAGGAAATGGGATCTGTCAAGCCTTCTTTGTGTCCATGTTGTGGCTGTTGCAAACTACATGGGTGAAGAACCAGAAAAGTATGTGCTTCATTACTATAAAGTTGAAACCTATCTGCGGATTTATGAGAACATGTTGACTCCAATCAATGGTAGACAAATGTGGCCAACAACTCAATATGGTAAAGTGATACCACCTGATGTGAAGAAAAGAGCTGTGAGGCCAAGACTGAATAAGAGAAAGGACACAGATGTCCCAATTGATGCAACTAATTCAAGTAAGCTGGGAAGGAGGGGAACTTAGATGACATGCAAGAATTGTGGCAAGTTGGGACATAACAAGAGGACATGTAAAGTCAAAGGCCAATTCACCTACCTGAAAGATCTTGTGAGTTCCAGTCAAGTAATTCATATTTTTTTTTTATGCATTTTGTTAACTTGTACATTGCTAACTTTTGCTTTTTAGTTACTACAGTCCCAGCATGAAGGAAACTAATGTCAGGCCCAGACTGAAGGGAGCCAAACTCAAAGTCAGGTAAAAGGAAGCCTGGTTGGGAGTCTGGTTATAGAAGCAACTCAAGTTAGGAAGAAGAAGATGACCGTAAGTTTTGCAAAGGCCCTATTTGTTAATTTATAGATGTCTTCCTTGCATATGTCCTAACAATGATGATGGCTATTGTAGGTAAAAAAGAGAAAGGTTATGAGAACAAGTGACTCAACTCCATTGCATGTGTGATAACACTGTTCCGTATTATGCTAATTGGTCCTTATTATAAATATGATTATGTGTGCCATTTATGTGAAAATATGTGGTTTCGAATGTCTATCTGTTCACTGTAGGAATATCTGTTTGATTGTCTGCTTTGGAATTTAAATTGAAGGCCTTATCGGCCACAAAACCCGAAATTAATTACGCTATTGTGATTAGCGTAATTTTTAGAGCCTACGGTGAAATTTAATTGAAAATTGATTCGGATCGAATTAAATAGATTAAATTAATGATACAGTGCCCAATTATTTAATATTTATAAGTGTGATTAGTGGGACTTATATTAAATAGGCACCACACACTCAATTCCTCTCCTTTGTTTCATTTTGGCTGATTTTGGCTCTCTAGAATGGGAGAGAACCGAATTTGAGAGAGAGAGTGTGGGAAATTGAAGGTTTGTTCAAGAAGCTTGAATAAATTGAAGACTAACTCAAGATTTGATCATAAATTGGGAAGATTAAGGCTCCTAGGTGAGTAATCAACTCTTGACTCATGAATTTTAGTTTGTAAATTGTAGATTCCAAGTTGAATGATGATAAAGAACATGAGTTAAGTTGGTTTTGTTGAATTGGAAGCCAATATGTACATGCATGTAAGAAATTGCTTTGAATTTCCATATTTGAGCACAATGTGTATGATCCATGTTGAATTTTTGGTTTAAGTCCATGTATTTGATCATCTCTTCATCAATTAAGTTGAGAATAATGAGTATCTCCCACATGCATATGCAAATCATGGAGGTGTGAGTTTGAATGTTTGAATTTAATGTGTGGGCGATGAGTTTGGGTCAATTTGAGGCATGCATGTAAGTAATTCAAGGAATTGAGCTTCATTGTGTTATAATTTGGTGTTTGTATCATGTTAGTACATGTTTATATGAAGTTTGAGCCATTACATGCAAGAAATGTTGGTTGAAATGTTGAATTTGAGCTCAAGAACCATTCTGGAAAACCCAGAATTTTTGATGTACGCTCGAGCGGGGGAACCGCCGCTCAAGCGGGAAAAATGGGCTCCCAGCATTTTTGCAGACATGGACGTCCGCTCGAACGGGGAAGTTCACACTCGAGCGAGGAGCCATGTAGTGAGGCCTTCCGCTCGAGTGCCAGAATTCGCGATCGAGCGTAAATATGTGTAGACACCTCATTTTTGACCGTCCTCAAGACTTGGACGTCACCGTTTGAACACCCGGTGATCATCTATGTTTGTGTTCGTTTGGAGGTCCTGGAGGTCTCGGCTACGCGCCTTGCCTTGGGATCTCCGAACTCGCTTGTTTAGTGTCTGGTTTTATACCAAACACTTGTGTTTTGCCTTGGAGGGGCAGGGAATGCCTTGTGAGGCATCCCCACACATCACCGGCTGTTTAGGGGTGCCGCCGGCCTTGGTTTCTTAAAATCAATGGCCGGTCAGCATAATATACTGTCGATCGATACTTTTCTTTGCCGGTGACATCTTTTGCTGGCCAGTGTGACTCTTTTGCACCCTTAAGGCATGGTGCATGCCAGCTGTGCCAGCTGGAATGCACCATCACCCCTCCCCGTGCAGTTTCTGGCTGGTATGAGCCTTTGAACCCCTTTGGATCCTTCTAGAAGGATGAACCCTTAGCTAAGCTTCTTAGAGAAGCTTGGCCAGCTATTTTAGCTTCTCCAAGAAGCCTAGACTCCTTTGCACCCTTTACCCCTTTCACTTGGCTTCTTGGAGAAGCCAAGAACCATTTGCTTAGGCTATATATAGAGCCCTCCTCCTCCATTGTTTAAGGTTGGAGTTTTAAACCTAAAAAACCAGAGCTTATATGCATATATTTGCTAGATATATCATCTCTCTCTATATTTCCCTCTCTCTCCTCCCTCAGTGTGTGTTTGGTAGCCCAAAAGTGCATTTTGGCCTTACTTTTGCACTAAAACACACACCATTACACCTTGCTCCAAGATTGAGAGGTTTGGAGGGTTGATTCTTGAGTTTTTGGACTGATTTTGATCAAAATAAGAGGGCTGCATTGGCTGTTCTTGAGGTGTTCTTCAAGGGTAATCACTTTGCTTTAGTTTCCCCAAACTTGCACTAGTTTTTTACCCGTGTTGCTTGCTGATTTAGGCTTTGTGCATAACATAAAAAAAGGCTTATATTTTCATGCTTAAGAACTTTCATTAAGGTTGTTTTGTGGTTTGAGTTCAAACTCACCCTCTTAGGCCTTATTTGGCCTTTTTGGTGCCTCCTTTGTGAGGCCTTGTTCGCTTAAGTATCTTGGTCTTCTCACCACTAAAAACCAGTGGGTTTTCAGTGGTGAGGAAGGTGGTTTGAAGTCTTGTATAGGGGAGGGACACCCCTCTCCCTTCATTGCCTCATTTCCTTGTATTTTGGCTTAAAGGGTAACATGCATGCTTGATTGATTTTGGCCCTATTTCAGAGGTTTTTGGGTGTCTCTAGGTCATATGTCATCTCTTTTTTTGGTCGGATCTGTGCCCTTTTGCATGCTTAACATACTTGCTTTACATTCCTCTATTTGGCCTAGAAATGCGTCTTGTGTTTAAGCTATGATTCTTGCATGTGTTAGCCTAATTTCATGAAGGTATTGGCATTATTCTACCATGTTTAAGGCCTGTTGGCCATCTGTTTCAGTCATGCTTGCCATGTTTGGTGTCATCCTTTTGTGTTTTGGCTTGTAAGCCTTGGGTATATTGGCCTCTAACATGTGTAGCTTAGACCATCCTCATGATTTGGCATCATTTAGGGTCGTATTTCAGTCCATAAATCATGTTTGTATGCCTGCATATGTGACCTCTTCCATGCTTTGAGGGTGTGCCCTTTTATGCCTAGAAATGAGTTTTGGTGCATGCATCTCATTGGAGCCACTTAAGCTGCCATATTAGTGGGTTTTGGAGTCCATTTTTGCATGCTAAAATTCTGTTTTTACTTGTCTAATTCATGCCATGAATGGTCCTATTGGTGGAAGTAAAGTGCCTCTTTTTGTGCCTTAGCCTTAGGTCCATTGGCTTGCGTGTTGGCATGAGTGTTTGTCCATCATCTTTGGCACTTTTGGCCACTGTTTTGGGGTGGATTGAGGTCTGCCCCTTTATGGTTTAAGTCCACCATTGCATGCTTATCATATGCTTGTTGCTTATTTGGTTCATTAAGGTGTTGTCCCATGCTAGCCTTATGGCATATTGGTCCATATTTGCATCACATTTGCATCTTGCATGCCTAGCATTGTATGTTTGCCATATTAGTTGCATGGCATTTGGCATGCCTTGCATAATTAGTATCATGTTGCATTTTGAGCCATGTTTGCATAACATGCATTGCATTACTTGGTTTGGGGTGTCAAACCAAGTGTGAGGGTTAAGGAGCGTTCATACTATAAGTGATGTAACGCGCCTTAACTCTCGGTCACCGGGCCCCTTGAATTTGACATGATAGGGTCTTGGTCCTCATTTGTGTGTTGCATGCATTTTTACATCAAGTGGCAACCTTGATCTCTTAGGCTATTCATGCACAATTGATGGCTCGAGGATCGAGGGCCATGCTTCCCTGAGTTCAACACGTGATGGGAAACATGACCATGCTCACATGTGCCTGAAATCCCATGCCATATACTGTCTGTCCTCTGTTGCTGTCAAAACTGTCTTCTGCAGGAAGTTTCTGCCGACCGGCAGAATTCAGTGCCGACCGGCAATCTTTGAACGGCCGATAAATCCAAAGACAGCCGATGGAAATCCTGGACTGCCGGTGGGGATTCCCCCTAGCCGGTGGTACTCTGCAGCATGCAAGGAACCTGACCTAGGGCTTTGGTAGTTTTCAGAGAGACAGGGCAGTATAAACAGAGGTGGCAGAGGTATGGTACGGGTTTTTCAGGCGGGCCGGGTTTCGAGCATGCATCATTCACGCATCCTGAGGTGGGGGCTGTGGCCACCTCTCTTCCTTTGCATTCATTTTGCTAAGTAAATTAGATAATTCTGTAAAATTTATGTGTTTATATTCGGACTGTAATATTTATTTGGACCTCCGAGTGGAGGGAAATGTGTAATAAGTGTGCGTGAGTGTGTGTATGTCTTCTAACCCACGTCTTTCTTCCCTTTATTTACCCGCTTATGATGTAGAACTAGGGCATATTTAAATTAGCATACCTTATGCTATGCATGCGTGCATTCACATTTGTCTTGCATGCATCGGGCTCGGCGCATCATTCTAACTGCATTGTATTTTCAATCCAAATTGAAATACGTGCTTAGTTGTAGGATTCACATGTATTATAGATTAGCGAGCCTATCTTAGTTGCATCTTGCATGTTGGCATTAGCCATCTTAACATGAACTAGGATCATGCATACGATTACTAACTTAAGTTTTGTTTGGCTTGGAGTACTTGGTAAGCATTTATGCTTTAGCATACCGCATGCGTGTGAGTGTTGCCATAACAGCATGATTACCATGAGGCTAGCTGCTTATGTGATATAACTATTTGAATGCCTGTGGATGGAGGTTGAATTGCCTAAATTGGAAAAAAGCATTAAAACTGTGAGTTTTAAGCCCACTAGATAGTGG